ATAACTTCTCGTCCATTGTGGCTGCTGTTGAGGAAGGCCGTGCCATCTACAACAACATGAAGCAGTTCATCCGTTACCTCATTTCCTCCAACATTGGTGAAGTGGTGTCCATCTTCTTGACTGCTGCTCTTGGTCTCCCTGAAGCTCTCATTCCTGTCCAGCTCTTGTGGGTCAACCTGGTTACTGATGGTCTGCCCGCCACTGCTCTGGGCTTCAACCCCCCTGACCTTGACATCATGGAGAAGCCCCCACGCAAAGCTGACGAGTCTCTTATCTCTGGCTGGCTCTTCTTCCGTTACATGGCTATTGGTGGCTATGTTGGCTGTGCCACTGTCTTTGCTGCCTCCTGGTGGTTCATGTATGACCCCACTGGCCCTCAGCTCAACTACTACCAGCTGTCCCACCATCTGTCCTGCTTGGGTGATGACAAGAACTTCGAAGGTCTGGATTGCAACATCTTCAGCCACCCAGCCCCCATGACCATGGCTCTTTCCGTGCTTGTCACCATGAGATGCTCAACGCTCTTAACAGGTGAAAAATAGTTTGTGTACATTTCAGTATTGCTATTAAGTAATTTATCAGTCAAAGGCATCTCTGTCATTATTATCAGCAATATAGAGTTAGAACATTGAAAAATCCATCATCACTTCAGAGTGGAGTCTGAATAAGGTACTTTTGTTCAATCCCACCTCTATTTCTCCTGCAGCTTGTCAGAGAACCAGTCACTCATCGTGATGCCCCCCTGGGTCAACATCTGGCTGCTGGCGGCTATGGCCCTCTCCATGACCCTGCATTTCATCATCTTGTACATTGATATCCTTAGTGTAAGTTAGAGTTTTAGTTCTTTTAGATGAATCCTTACCAAGTTAGATTTAGTTATTTGGATTTTTTTGGTTTGTTTAGTTTGATTTTTCTGATTTCTTTATCTTTTTCTATTTTGTAAAACATGTTTTCTAAAAAAAAATAATATATATATATACTGATTTCACTTTAGAAATAGATATAACTGATAGAGTTGAGTCTTTTTTAAGACAAATGATCTACTGTCCTTTCATTTGATATTCTTTAGTTTTACATTCTCTTCCCTTTTACTTTTCAAAATTTGATCAGGTGAATACTTCATACCTACAAGGTGATGGTAGATTAAACTCTTTTTTTTTTATTGTTTCAAAATTGACTAATCTATTCTTGGGGTGTTCAGACTGTGTTCCAGGTGATGCCCCTCACAACTGCACAGTGGATGGCTGTATTGAAGATATCCCTCCCTGTGGTGCTGCTGGATGAGACCCTCAAGTTCGTTGCTCGCAAGTACACTGATGGTGAGAATCCAATCTATTCCTGCCACTGGACTGTGCTAGCCTGGGCTATCTATTTTGCCTATATCTGGATATACTTCTTCTAACCTCAGTCACCACCCTAACTTATATATATATATATATATATGTATAACACTGTCACGAATCAGACTCTCAAGATATAGAAAACTGAAAGGGGTTTGAGGAACACTGTGGTCCAAGTGCAAACAATGTTTCCATTATCAACAGTATTCCCTTTGGGCTGTGGGTTTCTGAGACAATTCTCACATGAAGTGAACTTTTTGTTTATTTGTTTTATATTATTATTATTATTGTCATTATTGTTATTATTATTGTTATTTTTATTATTATTTTTGGTGTTAAATTTGGCCACTGTGCTCCCAGCCCCTGATTAAGGTACAAGTGGGAAAAGACTCAGGGTGAGTGATAGAAAGAAAGAACTGTTGTCAGCCCTCGACTCGCAATGTGGGTCCGTTCTTGCTGCCACTTCGGCTGCCAATTGCCAGTGCCCTTTACTGCTGTTGCCACTGCTGTTTGCTTAACGGGGGGCTGTATGTCAGCGTCAGTGTACATAAAAGTGACGTGCTGAATGTGTTTAGGCATATGACCACAAGCCATTAACATTAGTGGAATACTGCCCGACCAAAGTTGTTGCGAGCCAAAGCAGAGAGCACCTTCACTTGCAAGGGAAGTCCTGCTCTGGTTCTGTCCCCATCCACTGAGGATGACTTAACTTATTATGCCTTGAGATGCAGGCTTCAAGGTGTGTTGTTTAACTGATTGCTTGAAGTCATAATGAGTGCTGCCATGTTAGGGACAGGCAGTTTTTTATTATTATTATTATTATTATTATTATTATTATTATTGTTTTTATTATTATTATCATTATTATTAACTGAGTGGGTGAGTGCAGATACAAGATTTATTGGTAAGAAAAGTTAAAATTTAGATGTTTAAATATATATATTTTATGGTTGTTAAACAATAAACAAAATTGCATTTGTAGGCTTCCTATAGTGAGAAGTGAAATATTGTTTGAAATTTAACCTGTGCCTTTATTTAGTTTGATGCCATCTGGTTCCCGGCCTCCTCCTTATCCTCCCAGCATGTGCCTGGATGAGAACTTGTGGATGGTTCAAGTTTTTGTAGAGTATTTGATTAAAAGTACAGTATTCCCTAGTTGTGTGTGATGTAAAGATCATTGACTGCAACTTGTAATAACATGTGGATATGTGCAATGGATAATGTAAGTCTTTTTTATTATTATTCTCATGACACTTATGGAGTACATGAACCTTATGGTGCATTAGTGAATTTTTGCGGGTACCCAGTTTGATGCTGCACATGCAGAGTCTCCCTCTCCACAACAAGTAGATGTTTCTTCACTGTTACTGCAAACACTTTAGTGTGTATCAAGGTTCTAAAGCAGCTAATGCATTAAAGTGCTGCATTGCAATAATTCTCAGTATTTTTGTTAGTTGGTGTGATTGCAATCAAGGGGCAAGGTTTTTAGTTATTTTTTTCTGACAGAGAGCATATGACTTTTCCCATCCACCATTACCCATTGCATACATGGAACCTGCTGTGTAAAAATCCACTATTTAAGGACTGTGAGTTGTTTGCATGGCATAATTGGTTCTCTGACATTGAAATAAATCTATCCTCTTTCCCCCTTTATTTATTATTCCAGGTCATTTTTTTTTAACTGTTCAGTTAATACCCAAAGTCCCATGAACCTTACTCTCTTGCTAATTTTTTTCTTAGTATTGTTCCTCATTAAACCAAGATTGACCACTTTTTGTTTTATCATATTGTAACACTGTATATAATGGTTAGGGAAGTGTGTGGATACTTCGGTAATCGAAAGAATAGGATCCATATCATAGTTAGATCCTTCAGTATTATTACCCTTGCTGTATGAATACTGTATTAAGAAAGCAATATCCCCAATGTTAGAAATCCACATATATGAGTGTCACTACCAGCAAATGCAAGTGTTTACCAAGCTGTGTCCTGTTTGACATAACAGTAGAACATTCTTGAAGGTTCCCAGATACTTTCACCTGTAATCACTGACACAGTCATATGTGGAGGTGTGGAAGCCTTCCCACCCACAGCTCCCACTACTACTACTACCACTACTACTTGTACTACTACTACTGTTGCCACCAAACTACCATTGAATCCTCCACCTCAACCTGAAAGCCCCAGAAATCACAGGGCATAAATGGGAATCCAGATCACCATACCCACCAATGAACTCCCTTCAACTTACCTCCTTCTCCAACCACCTTTCGGGGTCGAGGTCCTGAAGACTGCAGTGTTTGTGTGTGGTCGAAACCCAGTGAAGAGGAACTGCGACTCTCTCTCTTATGGTTTTTTTTTTTCCATCTTCATTTTCCAATATTTCTTCTTTTTTTCCCTCCCTCCCTTTGTCTTGAACTCCTCTGACTGGCCCCCCTTTCCACTTTTCTTCCTTTCCATTTCTTCTCTCATTTTCTGCAACCTCTGAATCCTGTTCCTGCTCTGCAAACCCCCAAGACACTCACACCAACACAACTGTTGTGAGTATTAAGGATATATATAATATATGATTTTTTTTTTCTTTTTTTTTTTTTGCGCCTCCTAGTAACTGTGTTCATCTATCATCCATTTATTTTTATGGTAAATTCATATATGACTCCCCTTTCCTTCCCCTCATGGCATTTATGACACAGTTAGGTACCTGACAAGGCAATTTTGAAGTTGAAACTCTTATGATGATAATATATCAGCGATCTTCACAATATTCTTTGCCTTGTCATGGTGAAACATATTTTATCCAGTGTAGTTAGTTATTTTTACTTGAATCTTGAATTAGTTGTAAGTGTTAGAAATCATTCCCCGTGTTAGCACTGCATTGTAAAAATGAAAGGAATATGGAGGCACAAAAAGATAGCTATATCTTCTTGTGTGTATAACTTGCAGTTCCTCCCTTGTAGCCCCAAGTCCTTTGAATTAACCCTTTTCCCAAATGAATCCAGTTTATTATTGGTAGAATGCCAAGTGAAGTGCAAGGATTGCTTGATAAACTAATACAGTATGTAACTGTTGAGCCGTCTTGTTGGCGACTGAGGAAGTCGTCAAGAGACTCTGTCTGTGTCACTAAAGAGCACCTCTGTTGTGTCGGCCAAAACTAACTCCTTATGCAAATCATTTTTCACTTTTTCAACATTTTACTATACATTTTTATGACATATAAATGGAAAAACGCATGTGAAGTGTTGGAAGTGTTTTAAAAAGAATACAGGTATTGGTATCATATTTTGCTGAAGAAAAAAGAAAAATAGATAAGTGCTACTTGTGATAAAAATATATTTTGTGGTAATAACTGTTGGTGCAAGGTCATACAGTACATTTAAACTTTTGATTCTTTTCACGTAAAAAAAAAAAAAAGTGATAAAAAGCGAATAGAAAACAAAATAATTGGTCACTGCGTCCATTCCATTTATGTATTTTTTTTTCTTTTTTATGGTCCTTTATAAGCTGTGATGTCTTTACGAGTTTTGTTAAGAAAAAATAATAAATCATTGTTAAAAAGTTGAACATACAGAGTTTGTGTACCTAGTGTGGACCCCGCCTGTGATTGAAAAGACGTCCAGGAGGTGGTTCCCTGTTTCACATGTAGAGTGTGGAGTGTGACTAACATACCCTGCAGCCTTACCTTGGATCCTAAAGGTGAGATAATCCTGTCTTCCGTTGACAAGCATGTGCATTTTTCTTAGTAATAGATTTCTTAGAGATAAAATCCATAGAGGCAGGTAATCTGGTAGACAGGTAGATTATAGTGAGATGATAGTTTTAGTTAAAAGATTATGTTCTGTTAGCTATATCTAAGAGTTAGATCTGTTTGTGTTTAATTACTGTGTTTATGGGCCTTCTTCTTTTGCAGGTTTATGTATTATGTTTAAGACTTTCTTTTCCAGATACAGTATTGGTTTTTGTCATGGCAGTGTTTTAACTATTTTCATATTTATATTTTGTTCTGTATTGCCCCAGATTAGGTTACAATTTTAATAATGGTAATGCTAGGTCTTAGATAAAGAGTTTGCACATATATCTAGGTATTTCCATACATACAATGATATTTTTGATACTTTTTTCTTCTCTGATTTACTCTTTTAGCATTTATTTATATTTTTCTAAGGTAACTTTGCAGTTTATTTGTTCCTCCTGAGGTCATCTAAGCAAGAACCAACTTAAACAGACTGGTCCCTAACTTATCTCTTACTGAGTACAAGAATCTTTCAGCAGTGTAAAGTAAACTGTCTCCTGAAGAGGAGATTTTCCTTGTGCCTTTTGTACTGTATGTGCACCCCCACAATTCAAGTCTCGTTGTAATGCGTTCCAATGAATCACAAACTTGTTTATTCCCAGTAAGCTTTCACGTGACCCTTGCATAGATTCATGGCATGTTCAGTATACTCTTTGTGAAGGACAATACATGTGCTCTAAATGCCCAACTTACATTGCAGAGTCTAAACCTATGACTGTAAATATATGGTGTTGGAGTGGTGTATATATATGTACAGTGATGACTTACCCTGTGTCCCCTTTTCCCATCCCCTTGCTGCCCTCAGACTCCTGGTATAAACCTGATATAGATATCTCACAACATGAATCCCCCAGTCTTACCCCCTCCCTTCTTCCCTCAGCTACACCCTCTTTATTTTGTTTTGTTTTGAAATTCAATGGTCATGTATTTACCTTATCCTTTATTCCCTCAGTCCTGGAAGGAAAAAAATGAACACACAAAGCAATATTTGGCCTCTTTGGTTGCCGACAGTAAGTTTATCTATAATCTCAGGGGCTCCAAAGTCTCTTCTATGTTTGAAAGCTGTGTCTTCTAGAATGCAAAAAAAACAAAACAAAAAACAAAAAATTACAAAAAAGTGCTGTTAGATATAATTTAGAGATGAGGCATATGCCAGGTGAAAAGCTTAATATGCTAGCTTTATAGTTGCTTTCTAGCTTAATGGCTTAAATAGACCATGCTCCTGATTCTCTGTTTGTCTAAGAACTTTAGTATGTACAGACCACTTCAGCAAAGTTTTCCAGAGTTCAGTTCTTGCAGATGGTCATAAAGTTCAAGCAAGCTGTAATAATATGCAAAAGAAATCTACCATCTTAAGTCACTGTGGTGTACTAATATTAATAATGAAGATTTATATCTTAAAAAAAAAAAAAAAAAAAAATCAACTCGCTTACAATTAGCAGTGTTGTGTCATTAGTCCATCAGAAAGGATTTCACTAAGTATTGACCATAGTTTGTGCACTGTTCAGGGAATAGTCATGCAAGATTTGTCAATACATGTTAGCCAAGTCTACTGACCCTGTCTCCTAACACCCAATGGAATGTTTGTTTTTCAGAGTTTTTGACTTTTTTGACAGAAGCTAAAGCATCTGACTGGTTTAATTAGCCAGTGGTTGCTTTTCTTAACCCCATGGATCTGTTTTTTTAATGGCAATCATATGGCCCGGAATAGGATTATATGAGTATGCACTCTGACGGATGCATGGCTTGTAGCCTGGGTACACATGAAAACTCATGTCTGGTGACAAGACTCTATGCCTTCCCTTTGCAGTGTTTTTTTCTCTTTTTATGCATAAGCAATCTTATTTTTCTTGCCATTTTCCAGTGTCCCTACTTGTCATTTGATTTATTTTATAAAATAGATTGCTTTACTTGCACAGACTCTTTATCATCTCTCTAGGTAATTCACAACTCAGTGCAAGAATAATAATAATAATTAAGATTTTATCATATGTGTAATTTCTTTTTCTTTTCATAATATTCAATTTTCTGTAATACAACCTGTGGCTAGGAGTAAGACGTTGAGCACTTAAATAGCATCCTCCCTGGAGCTATTGCTCTTCCAGTCATGGCTCATAGACAGTACATGCAACATTCGATAGATATAATGCTAAAACCCCTTTCTAAACATCAACTGAGTCTAGTCACCCTCCAAGAGGTTTATGCGTTCATGACGAGTCTCTCTCATCACCCCAGCCTTCAGCTAAAATGCTTCCAGTGGAAAGTTTGTATCACCCGGCGCACAGACAAATTTTCGCAATGTGATGGTCATGTCGTGCAGATCGTAGGGGTTAAGATGTCAAAAACTTTAAAAAACAACTTTTCTATTTACTGATACGAGTCCTTCACTGTGCTATATTTGTCATTATTTATCAACATATACACTCTATTTAGGAAAAGTCAGTATATTATTTTTATCTCATCTTGATAATTTTGACAATGCTAAAACAAGATAGGTTTTAGACTGACTCTTATTCACCAGTTTTTTAAAATATATAAACCCAGTATTCATATTAAAGGAAAGACTTAATATACCAGTGAATATTCATCCAATTGACACACACACGTGCACACGCACATGCACACGCACATGCACACGCACACGCACATGCACACGCACACGCACATGCACACACACACACACACACACACACACACACACACACACACACACACACACACACACACACACACACACACACAACACACACACACACACACAGATATATGTCTACTTGTAGAAGGAACACCTTAATGTACAAAATATACATTCATATCTTGTGTGTGCTGTTTTGTGAGACCCTACCATTTTTACCCGCAGTGTCTCCTGCTGTGTCCAAGTAAGAAAGAATCTCCAGCAAGAAGCATATCACGGCCGTCACATGGAAACCGATGGCACCTGACTCGACTACTACTACAATAGTTCTAGAATTTCATTTTCTTTACTTTTTATTGTCTTCTAACTCTAACTCTAATTTATTCTTTTTCTTTTTTTTCTTTCAGTAGATGTAGATATTTACTTGGTAGTAGTAATAGCAGCAACTAGTCACCTAACCCTGTTTTTTTCTCTTCTTGATGAGTCACTAATATACTGTGGCTGTTCATTACAGTACCTGGCAAGATTGAGCAAAAATGGTAAATCAAGAGGTACCATCTACTCCAGCTTTTCCAATGTCCTCACAGCCAGTAGCCTTAGCTGTATTAACCTACAAGCCGTCAGTGCCATGCCTGTGATGAGCCCAGCACCACCCCGCCATGGCCACTGTATCTAGGGGTGCTAGTCAGCAGCTTAGAGGAACTTTCCATCTCCATTGCTGATGTCCAGAATTCCTAAGGAACAGTAGCCATGGGCATTGGAGGGGCAGAAGCAGACGGTGGTGTGCGAGGTCCTTCACCTCCAACAGAGATCTCAGCCTCCCCCTGCTGTGCCTTGGCACTCTTTGTCCATAAGAATCTGCACATCAGTATTACTACACCATGCAGGGGGGGTTCACCCATTGGCCCACCACCTTGCCAACATTCTCCATCCAATGGATGACATATAGAGGATGAATATGTACATTTACTTATGTTGTAATTTGATTTAGAAAAACTAGAATATTTTGATTCCCTTGTTGAAATAAACTGTTAGCTAACTGCTCTTGGGCAAACATTGCCAAAAGTCACACTAAGTGTGTTGTGTCCTGTGTCTGTGCTCATGTCAAACTGCCCAACAGAGAGCAATGTACGACCATACAAACATCCACTTGTTTCTGTGCAAAGATGTGGTACAGTTTTGTACCTCATTTTGTACATGCCACTCATTTATTGTTGATGATAGAATAAATAATAAAAAAAGACCTCACTATCTTTCTTTGTTTAACACTTTCTAAGGAGTATGTATATATGTATATATATATTGCATGCAATGAAGCAGGCATAGAGGGACAACTAAGCTCATAGGGTAATTATATACTCTAGCCAAGAATAAATTGAGGATCTGCTTATGATTAAGATTTTGCAAAAGAAGCTGCTGAAATTTATCATATCCTGGATAATGAAAAGATATTGATTGTCAAACTTAGTCCATTCAGATCAGTCCTTGAAATGTTACTATTCCAAATCAGATATGAAACAACATTTAATATTATCAATGTAATAGAAGTTTGCACTCTGAATTAGTTGGATTTTTTTTAAAGCATAGAAAAAAAAAAATTAAGAGAAAATAGTTTGTGCATTCTTACACAGATGTATATACATATGTATGAATATATGAAATAAAAACAAATAACCACAGTGTTCATAAGTTTAATATGTTAATGACTATATAATACAGTATATTTAGTATGATACATCTAATATGATATTTATATAATATATGGTAATAGTACTTATGCATTTTGGTATTTGTGTTTATATACAAATTCATGGACAGGAAAGTGTCGATCATACATATACTTAACCCTGTACTTCTGGAATTCAGCATATACAAAGCTTTGGTTGCTTGAAATAGATTCTCTCTCTCTCTCCATTTCTCTCCAGCTTATCTCTCTCTCTCTTTCTCTCTCTCTCTCTCTCTCTCTCTCTCTCTCTCTCTCTCTCTCTCTCTCTCTCTCTTCTCCTCTCCTCTCTCTCTCTCTCTTCTCTCTCTCTCTCTCTCTCCTCTCTCTCTCTCTCTCTCTCTCTCTCTCTCTCTCTCTCTCTCTCTCAGACACACACAGATAGACACAGACACACACACAGATAAACACACACACACCAGATAACACCTCACACACACACAGATAGACACACACACACACAGATAAACACACACACACACACACACACACACACCACACACACACACAAC